TTGAAGTGTAACATCAAAAACCAAGTTGTGATTGCAAATGATTACACCAAACTTGCAAGCACACTGGTTGTGATGTTTAATCTATGCAGATTGGTTCAGAGCAGATATTGAGACTACAAATAAAAATTGCCTCACCCTGTTTTTTTGAAAAACTCACAGACGAGCATTTCTTTTTACTGTGTTCATTTTGGTAACTTGCTCCAAATCATAGCACATGTACAATCTCTGAAATTAAAAAGTGAAATTTGCATTTAGAAGAAGTAACATTTCTGATGTTAAATATCCCCGGTCTGTTAAATTTCTTTGCAATTAGTGCAACATTGTCTCAGCAGGGTTTCTTATAGGAGGGTTTCATAATTGTGCACTTCTGTAAAAAGATGTTCAGACTTCTGTCTGGCTCCAGTTGCCAGACATGTATCGATTGAACATCAAGATCAAAGACAACCAATTTAAGTTCAACAGGGTGAAATTTTTATGCTTCTTAAATGTTCTGCTGGAGTTGACTAAGCAGGTAAGGAAGTTGAGATCTATTATCTCTGGGGTTGGTTGAAAGGTATGACGGGGTGTGGTCAAACACAGTAGGTGTAAATCACTTAATTGCTTCCTACCACTCTGTAGCTTGTCACGCTGTAATTTAACATCTCCCAGTACTAGCCAGGAGCAGTTGTGGAGCACTTCAAAACAATTTAAGCTCTGTTTGTTTTTCATCCTCCAGAATGAAGATGAAGCCTGCCGTGCCGCTTCTCCTCCTGGCCCTGCTCGCTGTCACAGGGCTGAGCCAAGCCCAACTCGGGAACTCTTTCCTGGATTTCTCCTGGATCCTTCCCAGTCTCAGTCGGCCGGCGAACCACAGCCGCATCTTCTACGCGGTGATGTTTGATGCAGGGAGCACGGGGACACGCATTCATGTGTACACCTTCATCCAGAGCGACTCAGGTAATACAGGCCAGAGGTGTCTCTTTTAGCCTGTTCTCTTCCCTATATTTATTTATTTACTTAGGTTAGCGGCGTTATGTGCTTAATACAGGAAGAGTGACATGTGATGACTGCAGGCTGCCTGCAGAAAGCCTAGCATAAATATTCTAAGGGTTTTTCTCACAATGTAAAGAGTAGCGGGGAGACCTCTGGTGCTGTATTAAAAAAACTGAAGTGCTGTGCAGCTTAAGTAGCACGCTTCAGGTGAACTGAAGTGAATATCTATACTTGCAGTTCTCTTAAATCCATAAATGCTCACTTCAAGGTGCATAGGTAATTTCAGTAATAATCCTATTTGGTCAGATTTAAGTCAGTGTCTCATCTTAAACATGGCTATATGTACACTAAGCAGATTTATACCTCCCTAAATTCATTTAAGAGGTTCTATATGTGACGTGGGTGGCTCTTGTGTCTTTCAGAGCAGCTCCCCATGTTGGACAATGAGATGTTTCATTCCATAAAGCCCGGCTTGTCGGCATATGTCGACGTCCCTGAAACGGTGAGTTCAGCGTTTCCTCTGATCAGTTGCATTGAGTTGGAGGGTGCACTCATTCAGACATTCCCGCTGCCAGAAATGAAAGTAAGTGAGAAATGCGAAATGACAACCAAGTCAGGCCCAGCTGACATAACACTAAGTGTCATCTCAGCTCTCAGCAGTCACTCTGTGGTCAGTAGACTTTTCGGCTGCTCGGCGGTGATTGCTGCTTCTGTTCAAAAGGCTGGAGAAACAGTGAGGATGCTGTTAAAGGTAGCCAAGAGGACGGTGCCTCGTGTGGAGTGGAAGAGAACTCCTTTGGTCCTCAGAGCCACGGCTGGACTTCGGCTGCTGCCCGCACAGAAAGCTCAGGCTCTTCTGGACCAGGTAAGAGTGCACTGTCTCGTACTGAGACCTTATTGAGAGGCCTGAGACGGCAATTACACAATACAAGCATTGTGTAGAGTGCAGTTCTTTATCATATGGGAGTTGTTTGGCGCTACAATGTCTGACACCATCGTGAAAAAAACCCCCAACAACCTATTATCCAACAAAGCAGCAGGGAGAAAAGGAAAGTGCTGTGGCAGGTATTACAGAGACAGGAGGGGAAGTATTGTTATCAGAGAGCAGGAGATTAGTGTGGAAGGCTCTTGTGGAGGGGATAAGATAGTAACGGATAGCCCTGGGGCACCTTGAATGATAAATGATACTTTATTAATCCCCCCCAGGGGAAATAATTAATCCCTTCAAGCGGAGGGCACCTCTGGATGAGCTACCATTACAGTAGATAACATTAAGGCCATCTCATTGTTGTTTTCCTTTGCTCCTAGTTGCACTTAAATCTCCCTTTCTCTCGCCCGTCTCGCCCTCTTTTCCTCAGGTTCAACACGTGTTTGACGAGTCTCCTTTTTTGGTGTCAGACGACGGCGTCAGCATAATGAACGGCAAAAAGGAAGGTAACGTCTGCCCAACCTCTGCCCCGACAAGCAACACATCCGTGAGATATCACGGCAGCTGTTGTCCTCTCTGAGGTGTTTTGCAGGTGGCATCGGTGATCTGTCTGCCCGTTTTTAGCGTGCTGTGCAGTTTCCGTAAAGAATCGTTGTTTACTGCAGGCATGAACCGAAATTGCTGAAGATTACAGCAGTGTTTTGTGATGACACTTAAGAAAACGAAATGGCATATTACCACAAAGATGAGAGTCTGTAATTATGCGGTGCAAAAATACTATTGTCCGTTGTGCCGTTGTGTAATTGATTAGTCAGCGTTTCAGCCTCGTTTATGCAAAATTAGTGTCTTAAATGGTCTTTGTTTTCACCTGAAATTACAGGTTTCTGTTATCTTGCTTTTCTTTTGTGCTAATTTTGTAAATGTAGGACTCCTGGCTTGGATATCGCTGAACTTTCTAACAGGCAAGTACACTGCATTAAACAGTAAAACATTTGTACCTCTTTTTCATACTTCATATCCAGGTTTAACTTTGTATCTAAAGGTGTCGTCGCGTTATCACACCTCACGTTCACAAATAGAGGCTAAATGTGTCCGACTATGAATTTCCTGCCTACAGGAGTGCTCTGATCTTTATCAGATAGGATCCAGCGATTTTATACTTTGGCTTGTACATGTTTGCCAAATAGGCCTTTTGAAGATAACATCGCAGGTGTAACTGATTTGGTCCTTTGTGTTGTGGTTTCTGGATTAAAGTGTGACTTTATTTTTAGGTCACCTGAAAGCGCGAAGCAAGAAGACAGTGGGAATATTGGATCTGGGAGGAGGATCAACGCAAATCACTTTCCTGCCCAAACTGAGGGTCAGTTGTTTAAACACTTGAGAGAAATCTGTCTGATCTGTAACCTTTGGTGATAGTAACCCTCTGTGCTCTCTGTATTCCACTGTAGAAAACCACTGAAAGTGCTCCTGCTGCTGACTACACTGCTAAGTTTGATGTCTTAAACTCAACATTTGAATTGTACACTCATAGGTAACTGTTTCAGAAACGACTGTATGCTTCATGAGACATAATACAGTGTGAATGAATAAGAAATTGCTTCTTGATTTCACATTCGAGATCATTTCCATATTTTCCTTTTTCACATTTAAAATTAGCCTCAAGTTCTGACACTGACGCTGTGACTTCACTCGGATCTGTGTTTAATTAGGTAAACGTCTAGTATCTGTTTAGTAGAGGTGGGAATCCCCATACATCCCACAATACGATATTATCACGATACTTAACGCACAATACGATATTATTGCAATTTAAAATATTTTGCGATAGTCAGTTTCTGTACATAAACTTTATCAATATTCATTTTATCTAATATCAAAGTC